CGTCTCGCTTCCTTCTTCAGTTCCCTATAACGGTCCCACATGGCTCGTGGCCCTGTAGGCGGCATCTTTTCATCAACTTGTCACTATGGCATACAAATATTACAAGAAACTATGTGGATGATGAACTGGCCAGAGGCGGCACCCTAGAGATAACATCGCCAAGAAAAGACTAAATGGAAGCTCCCTTGACTAATTGTGGACTTCTCTTGGAAATATGGGCGACGGGTCAACTCAGCAAACGCTGTGGAAAAACCCGGACATGTTCTACTGCGAGGTCGCTCTAGCCGTGGACGGACGGGAGACGGTCTATGGATCTCCTTAGGCTGGCTAAGCCCGATGTCTCGATTCTAGTGTGTGTTGTACTGCCTCGCCAGACCCCTTCTGTTGCAGCTGCATGGACGACGATGTGGAATCATCGCAGTACCTCCACTAAGACTGTCCAGCGTTTGCTAGACTTGCGGCTTAGGCACTTAGATTTGTACGTTTAACTTGTCCGTTAAAGCTCTGCTTAATGCCTGTAAGGCCTTTTCTGCTACATATTTACTACAAACACACATATCTCGCGTACTTTCAAACTTTGGTCATAAAACACCATATAGCAAGTTTTTTCAATTTTCAATGTTATCAAGCAATCGAGAAGTCATGAACTTATTGCTGTACCCTCGTGCTGCCTTAAACTTTTCGAAAGAAGACTTGAATGGTCGGCGGTTCGAATTTTTTTTTTTTTTTTTTTCGATATTCTATAGAGAACATATGCATATATTCCTTGACCTTTAAATGTGCCTCTTTTACAATAGCCAACCCCATTTTTTTATCCACAAAATTACTTCTAAACTATTTACTCACATACACAATTCTTTATTTTGCCCACAAAAGAATAGCATTTGACGGCGATGATCACCCAAACCTCGATCGTCGCCCTGCTCAAAAATGCACTCCGCATCATTTTCCAAAATACATGTGTCGAAAGTTTTCTTCAACCACGCTATGCTCGGTACCTTATATTGTTTGGGGAAATTCTGCTTACGCTCCACAATGTACCAGGGCGCTCGTACATAGTAAAACCAACTAATTAAACGTTCTACCGGATGACGCACAAGATTTATATAAATGGGCCATGGCAAATCTAAGCGGCCAAAATCTATGAATGCCACATGTTTTGAATATGATGTCGGTGCTCCTTTCTCCATTATCTCATCGGCTAGCGCTAATTCAAAAGCGGGTGTCACCAGTACAGTTTCCATTAAGGAGGGTTTATCGCGACGCGCTTCGAATCCATTACGTTTGCCAAGGAATTTCAAGAGGCCCATCAATGTTTGACTACCCACTTTGGGTACACGATTGAATACGACAATTCCTACTTGTGCTTTTGTTGTTGTGTTGACACTTTCTGGTGTTAGATATTGTAGCTGTCACAGTAACGAAGTGAAGACAAGCGGAATGGAAGACTTACAATTTGTACTACATATGTACATATGTATGTTTGGGAGTGTGTAATTATGTATGCATTCCTACAATTGATTTGATGATAATAATTTACATACATACATATATCGTTACCTAAAGGTGAAAATGTGCTAAGTCCATTTTTTGAAATTATTCAGGAGAGACGAATAATCAATGGAGTTTGGCATTAACTATCATTCTGCATAAAAAAACTAAATTTTGAAAAAAAAAAGTGGACTTGGCACCTTTTCACCTTTTAAGTAGCGTATAGCACATACTTAGTAGTATAGAGAAAAAGATCAGGCTTTGATTTAAATAGTTAAGTTCAAGCAGTAATAAAACGAAATTAATCCAAGCGCAACATTTTCCCCAATCAGGTAGAAGCTTACGCAATTAACTTTGCATTCAGTATTTTTTAAGAATTGCAGAAAAGATTTCATTAGCTGGTATTTGAATAGTATTCTTTTTTAATTATTCACAATTGTTCTTATTACGCCAAAAAGTTTGTGTTTAAACAATTAAAGAGCAATACTTACCTCTTTTATGTTGTGGGTACTTTAAAATTTTTGCAAAACAAAATATTTAGTCCGGATAATTCAAAGATACTATGTATATATATATGTCTTATTTGTCTCACTCACTGTATGTTGTACTTATAACAAAGTTTAACCGCATATGGCCGAAAATGATATTCAATCATTACTTAGTTTAAATAAAGTGTAAAAAAAAAATTAAAGCAAACTTGAAAATTAATTTGACCTAAGTAGGTACTTCGTGGTACCCACCAAATTATTTTTTCCCGATTCTGAGTCGTTTTTTAGTTGGGCAACACACTGCAAAAAAAATCAGCAAATATCTTAATTTAAGGCAATTTCTAAACGCAAACGATATAAACGTATGTAAATAACTTAATTTCTTATCACATTTTTATAAACAACAATGTCAATGAGCAAATTTTTTATGAAAGTATTAGTACGAGGACCCACTTTTCAAATATGCCGAAGCTTCCAAAAGACGTTGTCTTGCTTAAAATTACTTAATTTCTCTACCATTTAGTGCAAACATAACATTAAGGAAGATTTTTATTTGAAATGTAGTCATCCAGAGTTTAAACCAGTGATTCCCAAAGTGGTCCAGGTGGACTCCCAGGGGTCCACAGAAGACTCGACGGGGGTCTACGTTGGCGTGAAAAATATATATATATACCGTCACTTTGTGTCATCATCTTAAAGGCAGACTAAAAAGAATCGGATGTTGGTATAACATCATGAGTGAAGCGATGCGGAAATTTCCGGCGGCAGATATTTGAACACTTATGTCTTTTCAATGCTACAGGATAGTACGCCACCATTACCTTTGTTGAAGAGATTCTAGAGAGAGAGCCAAGCTGCACTTAAAGAATTGGCCAGCTCTCTATCGAAATACTTCCAAACTAGTTCGGCAATACATGTGGCGACTAAATTATGTTGGTAAAGAAAACGAGCTTGCTTTACTCTGGGTGCTGGGCACGTTGGGTTAGCCCAGGTATTCCTCGATCTGCAACCAGTTATGGCACTCCCCAATTCGACCATCGAAGCCGCCAACAGAGGCCTGGTGGATACCTCGCCGAGCAATGACTGAGAGCCATTGAGTGGATGCAGGTGGGCAAAACTCATGTTGCCTTCAATCTCAGAAGGTCTATCTAGTTTTTTCCTGATAGGCGTAAATGACCACTCCATTTGCTCATCCTGCTTTGAAGAGGATGAGATGGTGGAACATTTTTTGAGCTCCTTGCTTGCTTGTTTGTTTATCATCGATTTATCTAGATTCGGGTTTTTCTATTTTGCCAGTTTCTGAATTTGAAGTTTGGCGCAAAAGCTTAGCAGTTTTGTTGTTTTAAGTTTTGTGTTTTAAAAATGCGAGTGACTCTTTTTTTTGCAGCGATAAATATAAAAATGATGCCATCAACACAAATAAACTATTTGACAAATACATCACATACAAATTCATAAGTGAGCCGAACATGTGAGGAGTTTATTTAGTGCTCTTAAAAAATATAACTCCTCAGAGCGAAATAGTTCTTGCATGGCTTTACGAGCTCTGTTTTTTAAAACTTGCAAGTGTGTTATCATACAAGAAAATATTTTATTTTTATTTAGTTTTTGAACTCGCCCGCTATGCAAAATTACATCGTTTGATATAATCTTCACATTTTTTGATGCGCTTTGAGAATATGTTAGAAATGAGCATCAGGGGGTCCACCGAAACCAGTAAAGTTTTGAAGGGGTCTACGAGAAAAATAAGTTTGAGAACCTCTGGTTTAAACAATTGCGCTCGATTGTGGGCATCGTTCACAGATTATGTATAGGAATACATTTTATTTTACACAAAACAAATTTGATTTTTTTCGAAACACAATTTTAAGGAATATGATCGGAGATAAAATTCTAATATTTAGCTACACCATTATCACTGCCGAGAAGCTTAAAAGAACAGAGAATAACCACTTACTAAGCTTTGTTTTTGGGACGGAACCACAACCCTTACAGCCATACCTGAATTGAAGCGCTAAACGCAGCGACTTCTAACGCCAACGAATAGCAGCATGCGCTATACCCAAATAAACTCCTTAAATGGCGGGTTTGTACCGAATGTACTTTCAAAATAAATAAAAGTACGATTGTACCAACTTTTCCATGACTGTACCTAATCAAGCGGTAGCTCAATTAAAAAATGAATTGACTCAATAAAATTTCTGTCTGAACTTAATATTATGTAGTTGCGTTTCTTATCTCCCAGAAATAGTCCGAAGTTGTCATATTTAGTTCAAAAAGCGTTTCTTAACTTGAAAATGACAGCAGAAATGAGAGAGCAACTGTGACTCTCTTCAGTTCGAGGTAGGCTGATTTAAGGTTTGTTCCACACGCTTTCCGGGTTATTTCAACAATTAGAACGTAAAAATAGGTTACTCTCTCTCAATGTGTCAACCCGTGCCAAAAGTGCCCAGAGCGTGAGGAACGCAAAAAAAACACTTTTCGTGACCGGAATCAACAAATCAGTTCTAAACAATAATTGTATGTGTATTTATCTTATACAGCTACTAATACTTGTTTATAATGTTTGCTACTTATATCTACATTTCTGAACCTTTCCTTTAGTGCTATTTTCCATTTTTGTATTTTACAAAATTTCCTATCGGATGTAAACAAACCTTGTGTGGAACAAACCCTTAGTCAGAAGAATTTTTGCGGCCAAAATCTTGAAAAGTGTGAAATTCAACTGAATTTAAGTTAACGGAAATCAGTGGCGGATCCAGCGGGGGGTTTTTGGGGGTTAAACTACGTGTCAGTCAGTAGCGCACCCACGGGCGGTGTTTTAATATGGCGCATATGCATTTAAACACCCCCGTGGGCCCGCCACGGACTGACACGTAGCTTATTCCCTAAATCCCCCCGCTGGATCCGCCACTGACCGAAATTAAAGAATACACGAAAAGTGAGAATAATCTAAAAAAAATAAAAAAAGTGAATAGAAAATGGAAGGAGGAAAAAAATTAATGATGTAGTAAGTGTTTATTGTTCTTGTGCTTGTGTGAATGTGTTTTGTACATACATTTCTATTCTTATTTGACATTAGTTTTGTTGTTGCCATTCTTTGGATTAAAAATTTGGTTTTTTGCGTTCCTTTACTTTTTCCTGTTATTCACTTTTCAGATTTTAGTCAGAAAAGATAAGGAATGGACGTATTATACAAATTGATTGAGCACGCTCCTCTAACCACTGGGCTACAGCGGCCATCAGAATTCATTTCCTTATTTCATTATTTACCTAAATACGTGCATTCCTTGTAAATATGTATGTACATACATATATGTTAAGTAGTATAAATTTTAAAATAACCTTGTTAATAATTTTTTTACAACTGCATATTTGTAATCCCAGCATTTTATATTAGTAATAAAATATTCAATGACACAAGCTTCAGCATATCAATGTACATACTTATATTTTACCTGTACATACATATATAGACGCATATGTATGTATGCACAATTTTGCAAGTGCAAAACTAAAAAAAAAATGCATTGCCGATCATTCAACCGGAAAAGTTTGTGGCAAAGCCACAGCAACAGTGGAGACAACGCCGCAAAAAGAAGCAACTTTGGAGACAATGACACGCGATATTCAAGATGCCATAGAACTACCAACGGTGAGTATTTACAAGCATTCAAGTAAAGTAAATATGGATATGTACATAAATACAAATATGTAAGTACTAAGTGGTAACTTGCTCAATGCTTATGCCAAACCTTTTTAGCAGACGATCTTGAAAATGCGCAAATGCTATACACCAAGAACAAGGTCATGGTGATGTACTACTTTTGGTGATGAGTGGTTACACTGGCTGCGAAACTTATTACGTTTACATACAGTGGCGCTCGCCTAAATAGCACACTTTTATTTTTTACAATATTCACAATGTTTTACGTGATACATTTTTTTCGTTAATTTTTTATAAAAAATATAGTAGATTCTATAACTTATACCATATAAGTCAAAGTTTGAAGCTTTGTGTAGAGTTTAGGAAAATTTAGCGAAATTCAAAAAAAAATTTCATCAAAATTTTAGACTTTTTTCCTCTGATTTTTTAGAAACTTATTGAATATGCAGTTCGAAGCCCATTTCCGTTGATTTTCAGGAATTTTTTTGTATATACAGTGGCGCTTACCTAAATAGCACACTTTTATTTTTTACAATAATCACAAAGCTTTACTTGATAAAAACATATAAGGCAAAGTTTAGAACTTTGTGTACAGTTCGGGAAAATTTAACAAATTAAAAAAAAGATATCAAAAATTTAAACTTTTTTTAATTTTAAAAAGTTTATAAAAACCACTAAGGTTCATCAAAGATCCTGCAGTACCTATGTGTGCCGAGTTAGTAATGATTCCTCACGCCCACCCTCTTTCTCCTCTTCGTTTTATCCTTTTTCAGGCTCTTAAGTACAATGAACAACTGTGCCTGAGCGCTTAGAAAATATGTAGATTTTCGGTCTTCCGGCCTACTTCGATTCCTTGCCACTCCAACAATCTCCTACACATTTTCTGCGAAGCCTTTTCGTATGCAGGAAGTTTTGCGGAATGAAAACTTAGCAATGACGTATTGATTCAATTTTAATTTTGCCTACAAGGAGCAGAATTTTTAACGTAACTTAAATCGCATGAATGTCTGCTGAACGGTCTAAAATGCACACATTTCTTTACGGTCATTTTAAGGGTCAAACTATGGCAAATCGACCAATGGTTTGTAATCAACCATTTTTGATTTGGTCCGAACTTTTCTTTAATTATTTAGCGAAGTTCTGCCAAAGGGAAAAAATATTAAAATAATTTCGAAAGTTCAAAATTTCCCGGATTTCCCGGATTTCGCAAATATATTTTTTAATATCCCAAAAATATTACAGTTACAGTTGTGGTCGCGTTTAAAGGTGCCTTTTGCGGCTTTATAAAAAATATATTTAAACAAAGTTAAAAAAAAAATTTAAAATTAGAATTTTTAAATCTATTAAATCGTAAATGCAAAAACGTACTTACATTTTGGCTATTTTTTTTTATACATACCTCTAACTCATCTTAAAAGTTCCTGAAATTTTCAGTAAGGTGTTTTTTTAAAAAACAAAAAAAAAGTATTGCAAACTCTAAACTGAAAATATATTTAAATTAACTAAAAATTGCTTAACATAATCTTATATAAAATTTTGAAAACAAAAAATTTTAAAGTTCATAAATTCATATCTTTAAAAAAACTACCTTGACAATTTCATCTTAAAAGATCAGTTTGAGGTATTGAAAACCAAGGAATGAAACCGATTCAAAATAACGTTCCGGTTTGGGTTTCGGTTTTGCCAAGTGTTTCGGTTTTGGTTTCGTTCTTCAAAATTTATTTCGGTTTTGGTTTCGGTTTTGGTTTCGGTTTCGTTCCGGCTTCTGTTTTTCACAGAAATTTTGTTGATATTATTTAAATCACAATGTCTTAAACGTTGAGGAAAGAAAATCGAATTAGAGAATAAGAGAAACATTTTCTTTCAAAAATGGAACAAAGTTCAGAAGTACGAAAACGCAAACCCCCACATTTCGTGCCCACAAGTCGAGAAACAGCTGATTCACGTTGTTCTTGTTTTTGTCACTTATACCATGTTCTGACCGACATCGGAAACATGTTTTCGTTGCTAAAACTTTTTTTTCCATTATTTATCGAAGTGGAAGTCATATTTTATCATCTTTAATACGCCATTTCGGATTTATTGTTAATTGCCTGGCCAAAGCAAAATAAGAATGAAAGTTAAAGGTTGTAAATGAAAAGAAAATGAAGGGAAAATGTTTTGATTGTCGGTCAGAACATGGTATTAAATGCAAACGCTTGGAAATTGAATTTTGGTTTCACAAATTTGATTTTAAGTACATAGATTGAAAATACATCAACAGGCCATTCACTTTTCCTTAAAAGCACCAAGTAAATGCAGGCAACATGTAAACACAATACTGCTGATATGCACTTTGACACTTTATCCATTTTTACTCGGAGAAAATTTCGGGCTATTTCGGGCACGAAGAAGAATACACTTACGATCGAATACGCTCGAATTTTCGCTCTCTATTACCCATTTTGTTGAGTACAGGCATGATTTCTGGGCTATTTTGGGCACACGCGGGATCTCGCATTGCGTACGGGAAAGAAACTACTTAAATATAATTAATCGATTATCGATTCACAACAACAAAGTCATCAGCAGATTTTTGCGAAAAGTTACCTTGCCATACTTATTTACTACTTAACAAGAATTTTAGCAAAATGTTGCCGATTTTGGTTAAATAAATCATTTATTTCAAAGAAATTTTTATTTATTATTTTTGTAAATTTCTGGAAACCGATTGAAACCTGTGATTGAAATGGTTTCGGTATCGTTCCTTTTCAGGTCAAGATAACGGTTACGGTTTCGGTTTCGGTTTTGAAAAACGAAACGGTTTTAAACGGTTACGGTTTCGGTTTCATTCCTTGTTGAAAACACAATTTGGCAAGAAAAATGTCTAAGTTTTTGCTCCTACGACTTTTTGTAATATGTATCAATTTTTTTTTTAATTTCAAAATTCTGTATTTTTTTTATTTATGTCTTTCATATATCTCTTCTATGCAAGCCGAAAACGAGACCAGAACTTTTTGTACCTATAATAGTTATTGAAATGTTTATTCAATTTCTTTACTTTGGCAGAACTTTGTTATATGATAAAAGAAAAGTTCTGACCAAAATCCATCCAAATAAAATCCAACCATTGGTCGATCTCACATGGATTGACCCGTATACATAGTATGTCTGTACATTTGCTTAACATAGACTCCGACTTTATTGCTATTAGTATTTTTATTCCTTACATATTATGAATTCCATCATTATAAATAACTTCTGCTTAGAAGTTTCTTATAGGAAAACATAAGAAGACATACATCCAAATAGAAATTTTAAAATATTTTGCTTGTGCAAAGCATTTTATTTGCTACTAAACACAGATTTTGTGTTACATACATATATTTAATTTTGCTTTTGGAAAAATACCCAAGAAATATTTACTCAAAATTAATAAAAATTTTTTCTGCACTTGTTCAAGCTCAATGTAAAACCAATTTATAATTGCAATTGCTTTCAAATTTGTTGTCAACTAGATTTATTTTACCTTGAAGTCACTTACATACTTAGTACATAAATGCAGCTTACTTAAAAATACATTTGAATGTACCTGTATATTTTTTGTGGTTAAAATCATAAACAATTATTTTCAAATTACTGTTTTGTTTTCAATTTCGCTTCCCTATAACTTTTCGTTCCTTTCAAAATAATAGAAGTCCCTGACACAAAGTTAAAAGGTTAGTTAGCGGCCAAAGGCATGCAAAGGCATAGACTAAATAGGTATAATAGAGTCTAAAGAGGGGCCAAGAGACAGATCAGATAGTAGCATTCATAAAGAGTTTCCAGACCAATGGCCAAAAGGAGAGAGATGGTAGAGAATTATAGTGGCGAATTTCTAGGCGTAGAGCGATCGGCTTCAATGGGTTTTACTCTATGTAAGTTGCTATGTACGATGTATGTATGTATTTATGTAAGTATGTGTTTATGTGGCTTGTAGGAAACCTAATTTTTATGGTATTTATGGTTTTATGTTTATGTGTTCTATCTATTCATTTTTTATGGTATGTATGTATGTATGTGGTATGTATGTATATGTATTTATGTTGCTTTAGGTGTTTGTGAGGAAGAAAACCCATTTGTGAGACAAGATGCCGAATGGACGATGTACAATATATTCTTCATGCAGCTTGCAATAATGGGTCTCAGAAGGAAGTAACTGATGCCTGAGTTTTTCAAGCGCACTTTTGCGGGGCAATATTCTAAAATAGTGTTTTATTTTCTTTATGTATCTATTTGAAATCACAATATCTTTCGCCTCATTTTATTGGTATTAACTGTTAGTCAAGTCTTTGTTTGATACTATGAAAGAAAAATTTAGGCTTTACTTATTTAGAAATCATCGATAAAAAATTTAATTTAAGTCGTTTTTGTCCTAAGCATATTTACCAAATCTATTAAAATACTTACATACTTATTGACTTTTAAAAATAAAACATATCTTCTCCACAAATCAGTATTTTTTTTTCGATATCACTTCACTTTATTGCAGGGTATTCTCAGGCTGTTAATTCACACTTCTCCTTCTTAGTAAGTGCTTTGTGACGTATTCCAATCGCAGTTATGACAGTCGCATGCACCCGAAAACGATGTCGAAATCGAGAATATGAGTTAATGTATTTTGTCGATTAGAATGCAGTTGAATTTTCAGAATAAAGCAACGCGCACTCAATACAAGCACTATAAAGTTACCGATGTCGAATGGACTATATGAGATAGATCAACGAACTGGAACCAAGATATAATGTTTCAAAAACCATGACACCATGAAATGTTGAAATGTACTCATAACACTAACGACGGCGATTCAATGCAATGGTTTCGATGAATAAGCAAAATACATTTTTTTATAAAACATATAACTTACCTGGCCAGTACTTTTTAGGTATTGATATGTGCCATGAAGTGTATTGATATTATCACGTTCTGAAATGGGGAAACGAAGGTGGTGTAATTAATTTAAGGTCAGCTACTCTAGTTTAAATTAATACTTCAATTAAAGAAAAGTTTTTTGTGTATCAATCTCAACCTAAATTTGAGTCTCAATCTTAATTTTAATTTTAGTCACAATCTGCATTTTATTTTAATCACAATTTAAAAAAAAAAATGTCGCTTACTTTTTTTTGGCGGTTAGGGCACAATATACCCGAATTAAATTTTTTTGTATTATGTACATATCTTTAGTTGAATGTGGTACCTTTTCGGCCAAAAACATTTACATATTTTAAATTAATAACCCTAAAAGTTTGTGAAAAAAATCATTGACATTACCCGTTTATAAATACTCGTAATGCGAATTTTGCCCTTGAAATTTGTACAGATACATACAACAAAAATTTTACCCACCACAAGCCCCTCTTTTGGTAACTTATTTTTTGTTTGGTTTCATTTTTTGTGAAAAAAAAATTAGTTTTAGTTTAAAGTTTTGAATAATATTGATCCAAAAAACTGGCTTAACTACCTAAATATACTTATAAATGCTACTCGCATTCTTTGAAAAAATTATATTGATGTTAAATTCTTTATATAAAAAATGTTGCAAAAATGACAGTTTACAAAGCTTCTAAACTCCGTTTAATTTTTGGTAATTAGCATTTAAATGTAGTAGCGAAAAATCTCTTTTTTTAATAAACATTACATGCATCAGATACTCACTTGATTCTCTGGAATTGATGTGATTACCAGTTAAGCCGAGTGCTGAAAATTCCGATGGTTGTAATTTCACTTCCATCTCCTTGAGGCGACTATTTAATTTATTTGTATGCATAAAAAGGAAAAATGTGCAGGATATGGCCAATATAGCGATGAGTTCAACGGATCTGTGAAATAATTAAAAAATACATACAAACATTTATTAGTTAAATTTGGTATGTAACTATGTATATACATGGGAAAAATATAGGACCGTGTGAACAAAAACTAAGCAATTGCGTTTTCTTAAAATTTCAGACTCGATTTATTCAAATAAACTTAAGTAAAGGGTGTGAAGTTTTAAGAAAAGTAATTGCTTAGTTTTTCCATACGGTCCATGGTTTCTAAAATTAAAAAACTCGCCTTCCTGGACGAAGGAGCAAATAAGTATATGGGGCATTCCATACCAAAACGGACGGGGTTCACACTTTATGTGTTTGATTCGTTTCAAACTTTTAGAGTTAATGCATAAACATAATTAATAAATAAATATGTATGAAATTTCAGCTTGATTAATACATTTTTAAAAACTTTACAGCACAAAAACAAAAACAAATCGATTTAATAGTTTTCCAAATATCTCGAGAGCGGGGCGAGGAAGAAATTTGAAAAAAATCACACATACACACATCGAAATTCTCGATGAAAGGAAATATTTTTAAATTTTTTTTTCTTGAAAAATTTTTCAAATACAAATTTTTTGATAAAAAAAAATAGTTTTTGAAAATATGCCATCTCAAAAAAATTGTAAAAAATCACAATGGTAGCTCTGAGTGTCGCGCAATATTTAAGTATAGTATTATGGGGAGTACTCTACATTTGTAACTTTGTAATGTACTCATTTTACTCAACTTCTGTGTAAAAAAAAATTCATAACTCAAATTATTGTAGACAGAGAAAAAAACAAAGAGATAACATTCTGTAATTTTTTAGATGAAACTGAAAAGCCAATACTATAGAACTATTTAGGTTTTTGGGACGAAAAACTAAATGAAGTGATTTTCACGTGCCACTTTTGAAGTCAGCTTAACTACATTAAGCGAGTTCTGCTGAAAATACATAAGTACATACATACATGCATATGGCGCAATTTTTTAATAAATTATATATTTTTATATTTAAGTTCTTTTGCCACACACTTTTTTTTCATTAATTACAGCGCATATTTTTAGTGAGCTAAATATATTTCAATATTTGTTTCTTGTTATGATTCCTTCCTTTCCACTCCTTGTAACTCCATGAATATGCATATTTTCACATATGAATAACTAATGAAATAAAAAGGGGCTTCAATTGAAAGAAGCTGGTATTGTAAGCATTTGTATTCTTTCTCTAAACATTAATAAGCATTTTAAAATATTCAATAAGGTCTTTGAACTTTTTCGAACCAATCTACTGTATGTTTGCTTGCTTATAGCCGCAAGGCAGGTAATATGGCGTTAAAAAATTAAAATTGCTTAGAAGCAAAAACTAAAGAAAGATAAGCCGAAATACTTACATACGCACATTTAAGTAATGAATACATACACATATGAATATACATACATACGACGTTTGATCTGCAGATCAAAGTATATTGGCGAAAGAAAACAGTTGAGGCACCTTTGCTCGTCACGTATGTACATACATACATACATATGTAAATGTGGATGTCTAGTAGTTGATCGAAAAATTAAGTGGCCAAACTACAGGTCGTCGAATCAGCCAAAAGTACGATGAATCGCCAATAATATCCAGAATATTGAAGGTAAGGGTCAATTTTAATACCGGTTTGCTTTCTTAATGATATGTAACATAGCATAGCAAACGAAATGAAAAATGTGGTCTCTAATTTAAAGTTCAATGAACGCTTTTGCTACGAATGAATGCTGGATGATCGTACAGGCATACATTCATACATATGAAAGTATATCCATGCATACATACGTATGTAAGTAAATATCGAGTTAGTAATAGCGTGCGCAAAATCGCTTATGTCAGACTTATTTTATGCAAATATAAGCATATGTATCTGCATATGTAAACGGTTTAATTTTAATTAGCTAACTACATTTTAAGCGACTTATTCGCCTGAGTTTGTTTGTAAATATGTATACAAACGAATAAATATGTGTAAATTGTGAATGCAAAATTACAAAATTGTTGTTAGCTCTTTAATTTCTCACCCGTATTAGATAGAAATTTTAAGATTGGAGATACATATACATACAGTGGCTCAAACCAATGACCACGTGTTGATTTTCTTCAAATATTCCTAATGTTTTTCGAGCTAAATTTTTTTTTT